CTTTTTCTTCTGAGTAAGCTGAAAAGAAAATATTAAATAATGCAAATAAAATGTTTCTTCCATTGATGACATTGAAAAATCTCTTTAAGATATTGTGTAACTTACATCAGTTGCACTGTGAAGAGACTGAAAACTCTTGAAATAATTTTCATTTAGTTCAACACCATTTACTTTAGCTGCCTTTTCCACAATTTTCTGAGCTTCATCCATACGCCCTTTAGCCATTAACCATCGAACAGATTCTGGCAATAACCTGAAAAAAATTACTAGTGAGAAATGCATGAAATAAATTGCATGTGTATGTCTATTTATTCTCTCTCTCTTTTTTTTTGAAGGTAAATGTATTTCGTGTGTATGTAAATTAATTTTAGTTGATATTGGTATTTGTTCAGAATATTTTCAAGGAGAAGTTTGAACAATTTATTTAAATTGAAAATCAACCTTTAGCAAATAATTAAGGTTTTTCAACTCCAACATTATTTATTGATTCTTATTAAACATTATTCTATTCTATTCTATGCTACAGTTTTACTTGCTGATATAGATATTACTATCTCTCAAGGGCAATATACGGTGGGGAATGATATATATATATATATATATATATATATATATAGTGTGTGATATCTTCGAAAACATGCATATGAAAATTCAACATCTTTGTGAGAAATTTATCTGAAACTTATCTACATTTTTCAAGTTTTTTCAAAAGCAGTTCCAAAATGTTTCTGCAGCTAACAAAAACAACAGACAAGTAGTCAAATTTTCTCAATTAAGTACTAAAAACTCAAATTTCATGAAAACACTAAAATTCAATGACCATAATTTACATCCAGCATTTTGTTGAAACTAGAGATATATTTTCTGAAGGAATAATTTCACAAAAAATGAGAAATGGCTTAAAAGATGTTCTATGAATTTTTGTTAGATTTGTATTTGTAAGTAATATATCACTCATATTCATCTTCTAAGATCTATGTAAGACCTTTGTAAGTAAGGTAGAAACCATAATTTGTATTTGACTTATTGTTAAAATATATTACTGTTACATTTGTCTATTCTTCATAATATCTTTTGTGACAAAAAATGTAATTACTTACCAATAATAAGAAGCAAATAATATTGCTGGAACATAAATAACACGAAGAATTCTTCGCCATTTCTGGAAGTACCACGAAATGCATCCCATAATGAGTTCTCCAGTGGGATTGTAAATACTCATTATTGACCCACCAAGTGTTCTTTTCTTGGTGCCCATGATTTCAAGGCCTAAAAGTACATTTTGTAAATTAAATGCCAGCTAAGAAATGCTAAAATGAGGATTTTTTTTTCAATTTTACAATGACATTTTTAACTCACCCATTACAAAACCAGAAGTATATATTCCACCTCCAACAATGCCCTCAATTATGTTGCATATTTGAAACATGGTGTAATTTATGGAAAATGATCGCAGAATGCCAGAGAAGCATGTCATCATTAAACCACCTAATAAAGCTATTTTTCTTCCCCATCTGCAACAGAATAAAATATGTAGGTTTTACAACTTTACTTGGAGCACTTAACCATACTTTTTGTATAAATAATATAAGTCGAAAATAATGCTCAAAATATAGCCATGTGTGGATGAAATGGCACATGTTAATGATTGATGATGTAATGGCACATGTTAATGATGTACACGATTGTAATTGTATATGTGACTCAATAAATTTATTATTACTATTACTATTATTATTATTATTATTATTATTATTATTACTACTACTATTAAAGTAATTGAGATGGACACGTTTAAGCCTGGGTGAGAATTCTAGTTGCCGCCTACTCCGATGGGCTGCTTCCGCTTTCATTATTTCGTGTTTCCGTGCACCACAACTGCTAGGGTTGTTAGACCCGCAAGTGTAGGGCATGTTTTTTTTTTTTATGGGAGATGGCGGTCATCTTTCTACGCTAGATGATGAGAACCAGTGCTGACCTACAAGGAGACATGCTAGGTTTTCCCCTACCAGGTGCCTGCCACCAGCGGAGCACCGCCCTAGCCGGGAGAAGTTCTGAGCTCCTAACTGGTCTCCCGACATTTGTGGTATTCTAGTGCATGTAAGTGTGCGTGTGTGTGTGTGTGTGTGTAAATGAGAAGTAAGGAGATCGCGTACGGAGCGTAGCCCTTTTCTTTGGGTGCTGCTCCGGCATTCGCCTGGAGTTGATCGAAGAAACCACGGAAAACTGATCTGAGCAGTCTGCTGCAAGAATTCTCTTCCGTATAGCAGCTAAAATCGAGCCCCCAACCCAGAGCCTTCTTAAGTCGGTGTGGAATGGGAAAATGTGACGATTTTTGAAGAACGAGAAATTTTTAGTAAAATATGGTAACTGAAATGTTTGGCATCCAATCCACAGATCATAAAATTGCTAGAGATGACTTCTTGAGTAGGCTCTGAGGGTATTCCCATCCACATTATTCCATGGTGGAAATTTTCCTCCCTACTCCTCTTCCCCTACTTCACCCCTCTGTCCGCTTCCATAGAGTTAGTATAACTTCTTGGTTGGAGTTTATGTAAGTTCCTGTACAGATCTATCGGTCGGAGAGTTATGTGTTGTCATGTATTACTCGCGCAAGTTTTCTTGATACACGAGCTCCCTAGTCCTTATCCAGCGTTGAATAGTACGGCACGTTGTGATACTTAGGTTCGACTCGGAACGGCACGTGCCAATTTACAATGCTGGCAACAATCACCTCGAACTTTCAAAACAATCGTGGCATTTCTCGTGGCAGGCTTTGGCGAGTTAAATTCATGCCCACAGTTGGTACGACCTTTTAAGCCGTGACGTAGCCAGAGCCCTCCTCTCCCCGCATCCCCAACCTGTAGAATATCCAGAAAACTTGCGCGTATAGTACTGGACCTACAGGCGAGGACCGAGAGATTGCAAAATGTTGAATGTGATTGAAGTCGTTTTTGTTATTGTTTGTTAATTGATACAGTTATATGATTACCTTCTTGGGTATGTATAATTTTACTTACTTTCGTAGTGGTTATGCAACGAATTCTTTTCAAGTGTTAATGTTTCGTATTTTAGCGGTTCGCAAATTATGCCGAATACATTATAACCCGACATTTTATTGTGTGTTTAATTTCCATGAATTACTTTTCGCAATTTTGATCACAGGATGTTTTAATTGATATTGAGTAATTTGTAGATCAAATTTTCCATTTATTCAGAAATTATAATATAACTATTAAAACTCGTATTTTAAATAATTTGAATAATAAATTAATAAGTTAAATTGGCTGATCCCGGGTTTACGGTGCACCTTATCCTAGGCTTCCTCGCTTCCTGTGCCTTGACGTCATCTGCTTCCCTTCCATTCGGTGCGAAGGAATGTTCTCGTTCACCAGACAAATCGTTTATATTATTTTGAAAATTATATTCGCATACACTGCGTTGGTAAATACGCGTTGGACGGACTAAATGATATGTTAGGCCCTAGCCTCGTCCTAAACTTGTTCACGCGTAGCGAAGCATCACAAATCCGGGACACCGCCAACTTCCGATTTATCTCTAAAACTAATGTTTAAATGTACCATGTAAATAATGAAACATTTCTATCTATCGTTCACTTTACAAGAATCAGAAGTGAACGATACATACTCGTACAGTGGTATTAAGGAGGCCGTGACAGGGAAGTTCAAAACTGAGGTGCACTGTAAACCCGGGATTAACTGTTAAATTATTTTATGGTAGAATTAGAAAATGTTCTCAAATTTTCATACCTCACAAAAATACTTTATTCAATTTATAAATTAATTTATTCATATTTTATTCACAATAAATGTAGAATAGTTGACGCATTTTTAGGTATCTCCCTCCCCCTCCCGAAATAATTAATGATCAGAACCCATTATGGCTATAATATTTGAAAATTGTACATTTTAACTTAAAATGCGTCATATCATGAAGGCTAACTCGACCAGATAAACATTTAGAGTTCTGGCCTACATGCGAAGGCTTCATTCGCGTACATCAGGGATGTCCTAGCCGCCAGCGACCTTGCTGCTGACTTTATCAGCATGTCGGAACCAGTGCCAGGGGCAACTAAATACGAATATGTGGGCAGTTACTAATCTCGCTTCCCTATTGCGATTAACACGGTACTTTGTTTGAGATTTACAAGGTGAGGTCGTTAGCGCTAATTCCAAGCACACCAAAAACAGGCCAAACTTTAGAATCAACGCAGTCGACATTTAATCTTTTTTACAAGTACATTAAACGAATTTCTAATTGTGTTGCTAAGATATACATTCTACTCAAGGTATTCTATTCTTTTATTTCCGTAGAGTAGATTAATGTGTACGACGAAACGTCGAAAATATGATTGGAGTATCACAGGTTTAAGGTAAGTAGGTTTCGGTTTAAGTAATGCGTTTTTTAAATGCATGAGATGTTCTTAAGAGGCTATAGAAAACATAATACAAATGTTCTGTGTTAGTACTCCGAGCAGGCCTTCCGAAAGAAAAATCAAACCTCAATATTGGTCATTATACTGAGGTCTAAATCTAAACCTATATGGGATCAAACGAATTTTAGAGTCCAAACAGAATTAAACACAATAAGATGTGAAATGAACTAATGCATCCATTACGAACCTACTGATAAAATAAATGTTAATCACTACTTTCACTAACTTTTCTATTCATTTACGACAATTGGGTTGGGAAATTAACGAAATTGCAATAATTGGATAAAATTACGCGTATGCATATATTTATTTATCATAAAAACAGAAATAAAACTGTGTGACAAATGAAAGGCGGAGTATAGTCCGCGCACGTTGGATTGCAATTAGATTTAGATTTCGGTGTCATGGCTGCCTTGGTATCCCATTGGCCTTCACTTTTTCGCGAAGACCTATCCAAAGCAGGTGAATGAAAATGTAGTTACTATTTTGCAGCGATTGCAAAACTGAGCTAAACATGCGCATTGCCTAAAATTAAAATTGAAATTGTGTATCAAAATGGACTTATAAAATTACATTCAGCCTTCAAGCCAGTGATTTGATTTATTAGTCAACATACAGTAAAAACTGTATGTGATGTATGGGTGAGAAGTATGAAGTACAAGTTTGAGCTCTCACCTGTCGGAGATGTAGCCAGTTAGTGGTTTGCTGAGCAGCGCGCCGATGTAGATGAGGGTCCCCGACAGCGTTAGCTTCCACTTGTTGTCGTCACATGTAAGCGACCACTGCAAAAGCCACCAATCATCATAATACACACTTTTCTAATCTAACATAAGCGAGTCCAGTCTGGTGCAGTGTCGCTTCGACACATCTCTCAGAACTTGAAGTCGTTTAACCGGCTGAGTTGGCTCAGGACAACTATTGTTACTGCAGCGACTTTGAGGGGAGGTCGTAGAGTTAGAGATCGACAGTGGCAGATTTTTGATAGATCGAATTTATACGGAGCATATTCGGGATTTCGTCTGCAAACGCTTTCGATTCGCAGACACGAGTGCGATTTTTTTCAAATTAGCCAAGAAGGTTCCTTGCTAATATTAAAAATTATGTACGTATTAAGATTTTTATTTTTCAATTCCATTTCAAGATGGTAGTAATTTTAATGGATCTTAATGGATGTTTCCTGCATTGTTCAACATGGTAACATAGTGTATACTAACTTTATGAGACAAAGAAGATATTTTATAAAGACAAATTATGTCTGATGCCACTGGAAACAATGCAGTACTCATAATAAATGATAACATTGAATAAACTGGAGCTATAGTTTGCACCCCCACTTTCATTAAATAGATCATTAATGAGAGAAAATAGTGAATTTCATTTTTGAACCAGAATTAAAACGTGACCCGAAGCAAAATATGGAATGTAAATATCATTTTGAATAGTGGAAGTCATCTATTTAATGCGGCTGATACCTTGTCTAGAAAGTCAATGGGGAAACTAAGAATATCCCATAATTTCGATGTCATTCTAAATCTCATTAACACATTAAGAGCTCAATCGGAAATATGAAAAAGTGTGTGAATCACCCGATTGGCTGATGTTGATAAAAAGGGAAAAATAAATCAAACGGAATATTTCCGAATGAATTAGTTCATATTCTATTGAAGTCTCTCTTACCTCTCTCGCAATGGAAGACTCTTCACCCTTGAACACCCAATTTTCACAACGCTCCTTAGTGTAGTTGGAAAATGCCTGTGTCGGGCAATTGTCACTTATTACACTATCGTTCGTTGTTGGCGTGTAGCGGTAACACTGACTAGGCATAAGGCCCACAGCCTTTTCTTCGAAGGGCACAGCCCTATGGAGCCACGAGGGGATGAAGTTCTCCTCGCTGGCTTCCGTGATGTTTCCCTCGCACTCTGGGACTTGACATCTGTGGACAAAATAAAAGAGAAAATGAGTAAGATGGAAAAGCATGTATTTGTAGAAATTATTACTCAGCTTGAGTCAGTGGCAGCTCGGGGACAATATTTGGGTAGGCAATCGCAAACGTAAAATCAGATTAAAATATATAAAAACATCAAGTAACACAAATAATTTGCAGCGTACTAATTTAAAATAAAAAAAGATTGTACTTCCTAAATAATAGTTACTTTCTCAGCTAGTTAACTCAACAAAACTAAGAACACATGCGCTCGCAACTTGCCAGTGACTTGTAATCTAAGTCTTCCGCGCGGGCAGGCAGCAAGATAATTCTCTTGCCTAGCACAACGCGCATGTGTCAAGTAACGGACATATCATACTTCTGTTCTACGCTCACTAGAAGACCTTTTCTCAGAATACGGTGCAAAACCCAGGTCCGGTACGAAACCAGACAACGTCCGGCGCAGTATAGCTCTGAAGAAGGCCACATCACATGGCTGAAACGTAAGGTCAATCGATTGAGACGCGGCTCATCCCGAACAACCAAGAATCAAATGACTCCGGCCGCGGAAGCCTATGAAGCCACTGAACTACTACACATTCATTAGGGTAGACAGCGCCTATCTTGCCTACCCCAAGGAGCCACCACTGGCTTGAGTCAGAATGTGCTAAAGAAAATTACTGAGATAGGACAAATTTGAAAGACTCAAACTCATGAAACCATGAAATATTCTAAAAAATATTTAAAAAGACAAACAGAATAATGGCTTTAATTTTAGTTTCACAGTAGTGAACTATGAGTTATTATGACTTACAAACGTACAAAAGATCAAACATTTGATTACACTTAATAACCATTGTCAACCTGGGACTCATTTTCCAAATTCAATGCAACGTTCATCTTTCTTATAGTTTTTAGAGAAAGGTTTTCAGAAGTATGTTAGGGACTACCGGAAAATTCTGAAGATCAATTTGGACACAAATTAATATCATATTTTATTTTATAAAATAATGGCACAGAACCAAGACAACCAACATTAATGTAATTGTACGGTCTTCAATAACCCTCAAATATTAAAGAATTGACGAAAAGGAAAGATTTATTGAAATAATTATGAATTGTCATTACCAACAATATTGTTTATTACAATAACAGCTTCCGATGGCTTAGCTATCATCATCAGTTTTCTAGTACAAGAAAAAACAACATTAAAACGTGAATCAAAAAACAACAAAAGTAAAATAAAAAGATTACTAATGCTATTGTAATAAACAATATTGTTAGTAATGACGACTCATACAATTATTTCATTGTAAATGCCAACGAAAACTCACCCCAATACCCATAAAGATTTATCGATTGATTGCTTTCAGGCAAATGGTAGTGGTTTAGGGTAAGTTCGTTAATCCTGCTAATTTAGTCTGTTTTATCTCTGGAGATGGCGGTCAATCCTCATGCGTGAGATCCGGTGACAACCCACACGACACTTGCGGGAAATCAATCCCTCCGGATATCTTCCCCAGCGCGGCAGTACCGCTGCCACCTGTTCTCCTGTTATTCGTAGGTAGTAGTTCAGTGCACACGTATGTGTATGTAAAGGGAGAAAGTAAGGACAAGGAAGAGCAAGGAAAGAAAGATGGGGCGTGGTCCGTGGCGTATTTGTTAGGGTATAGTATAATTCGCATAGTATAATCCGGAGAAACCATACAAAACTGTGAATAAGAGCAACCGGTCGCCAGAGGTTTTCTGCAGACAGCAACTCAATTCGACCTAGCTATAGCGCAGCTAATGTCGAAAATCCTGCCACAATCGGAACCCAAGTCGGAGCAGAGACAGCTGCAATGCTGGTTCTGAGCTAACTCAGTCGGTCGGGAAAAAAGATAAGCGATTTTCATTTTCATTTTTAAAAATACAACGTAATATAACGTTTCTAATGTTTCACGGAGCATGAGCAATATCTCTCAATTCTTTTGATTGAAATTGTTGAACAGACTGAAATTTGGATATATAAGTGGTGACTGAAGATGGATACAATAATATTGGTCCGGCTAGGCCAATAACAGATAAAAAATATTTTTGTGCTAAAATGTAATATATTATGTATAAAATTTCCGCCGCAAACATGCGAATGGAAATATTTCCCTCTTGTATTTGCCTCGTCTCTCAGCTTTTATTTACATTGAATTGGAGCAACATGTCAAGACCGGTCTCATTGTTGCTGTCCAAAGGCTTGGAAATGACAGTTTTTCTTTCGGAGACGCCTTCCTGCTTTTTAGTTACGTAGAGCAGCGACAGCTGTTTCTACTGTCTGCTTTCATCGAACGCGCGGTGTGGGAGGAGATGTTAAAGTAGGTGCCGGGGGCGGCGGCGGCGGCGGAGGTGGGGTATGAATCCGGTGCGTTCCGGTTCTTTTCGGTTCGCTCTTCGCTGTCCGCCTTTTGCCAGTTCGCCAGCGCCCCCTGCCGCGCCGTAGTAGGTGGGACGAAAAGTCCGCGAAGCAGTTTTTATCTCCTTTTCATCCTTGTTTAAACCCATTCATCACCATGCACTATTTATGAACCAGGGACGTTATGTAGATTTTAATGACAGGGGACGGAAGGGAAACGGCCGAAGAACCTTTGGCCCGAGGGGTGTTTGTCGCGTGAGATCATTAAAAAAAATATAACGAGCCGCGTATTTTCCTTACATACACTTATTTTTACTGAGAAATAGAAGGTCCTCGAAGACGGCTTAGGTAGATTCGAACTGAAATTGTTAGTATGGAATCTTACTACGAAAAACGAAACTACCATGCAAGGGAGATGCATTTTCAAGATCTCGCTCATTCCTTGCACAATTTGCGTTAGATTTTGTAAAGTGCATCTACTGCTGGGATCCTGATACTTGCGTTTCCTTGGCCGAGAACATGGAAATGCGGGTTACAAATGTGTTCTCTCGTGTGTAGGAGCACATCCAATTCTTTCACCCGTATCTCCAAAAATACGTTTTTAGGATTGCAGGTTCATCATCTAAACTTTTTCAATAGAACCCTTTCCGCCCTATGCTTTGATATATCATTTCCTATGTTGTTTTAATGAATAATGGCCTTAATACTGTCAAAATTTTTAAGTATTTCCGACGCATTCGACTGTAATATTGCAACATTTTCTTGGTGTTATATGTTGTGCGGTCATAATGGCTACACATAATTTAAATAAAAATTATAGCAGTATATTTTTCACGGTGGTACCTCATGTATACATCGTGCATATTTTTTTTTAAATAAATGCCTTATACCACTTCAACAAATTTGTGGTTCAAGTTGCTGAGTATTGCAGCGTCATATGTTAAAGGAGAGACGAAACACTAGAGACGATAATTATGGAATCGCTGATTACTACTCTTACAATGTATAGAATATAAATAGAGCACTTGCAAATACAAAAAATATATTCTATAATACCCGAAAATATAAATTCATATCTAGTTTGAGCCTTCTCGGCCAGCCAAAACAAATGTTTTGTCTTACTAGTCGGACATGTTTTGAGTGTCCGATAAATATCGGCGTCGACGGCCTAGGCTTGGGGCAACGCCTCAATAAGGAAACAGAAGACTGCGGGTAAAGCGGAGAGGGGGCTATTTTCTTCTTGTTATTGTGGCGTAATCACCTCTTTCATTCCACCACAAATTCCACGTGCATATAGTCTCATTCATAATAATAATAAAGTGTGTCTACTGCTGCGTGCGTGCCTGCTGCGTGTCGTTGTGTGTGCAGGAGAAGGCACAGGCAAACCACGCGTGTTATCACATGGGGAGAGTAGGAAACGGGAGATCCTAAGCTTCCTCCCTTGCTCGGAAATGAAGATGGCGTGTGCCAGGCATATCAGCGACGACGAAGGCCGACTTCCCATCGCTCTCTTCTCCCCCCTCATTGGTTGACGAGAGCGTCGGATGGCCCACTGTGTGCCCGTGGCGGCTGGGCTTCGCGCCGCGAACAGGTTTCGCGGGCACGCCCACCCGCCGCGTCCCGTTAGTGCCCTTGGCATTGGGCGGCCCACGCCCAACGACCCGCTCCGTGGGCAAGGGGCACCGAACGGACGCGCGCTGGCTGCGTAAACCCATGAAGTCGGCCCCAGCCAGCGTCACCTTCCTTTCACGGATTCTAAAACAGCTGAGAGTCGAGACATGTAAGACAGACCGACCGACCGGTTCGCTCAGCGAAAAGTATTCTTCCGCCCGCCAGATGGCGCGGAGAGTCAGCTGAGAGGGCCTCGGAAGTGGCAAGTCAGCGAATGCGGTTAGAGCTTACGGATAGTTTTCACGAGTGAGTTATTTTGTTCCGATGTCGCCTCTAAAAATAATATTGTAAGAATTGATACTAATCAGATCTTCAAGCATGTGAAGGGATTGCATTGATTTCTCTGACAGATTCATTTTAAAAGTGAGGCGATGCACTTGGTGAGGTAAACGAACAGTCCACAATCATCGAATATTAAAGAAACCGCTCTGTGAACCTTTATCCAGCTTTTGATATTAAAATAATCAACTTTTAATTAAAAGCAATTCTCGTAAAAACGTTCCTTTAAATAACAGATTTATTAAGGGAAAAATCTTTTCTATATTTTAGTTGTAGGCAAAAAACTGAAATTTTGCAATTTCCGAAAATTTAGGGATTTCAACAAAAATGAGACCTTCAAATTTAATCAAAAAAATTGGACCCATTTTTAGAAAATTTTGAAAATTTCAGAGGGGATTCGTGCAAAGAACCCACAAAATTAAAATTTCGTTTTCAAATTCAAGGGGCCACAACATCAGCCTAATCGATTGGGGATTATTAATTTTGGAGAAAATCGGCTGAACGCTTTAGACCTTAGCGTGGACCACGGACGGACTGACGGACAGACACGTTTCTCTGTTAATCGATTTTCGGTATCAAGGACCAACAAAAAATGGAATCTCACTACATAACGTGTTGGAGAAAGTAATTTACTATCCATAACAAAATTTATCCACTTTTTCGCTACCAGGGC